CAACAAAAATAATAACCCTAAATACTACACACTAAAATAGTGTATAGTGGTAAAGGGATCGAATCCACGGAGATTGGTTCAATTTAATAACTCTATGAAAGATCTCTTTGTAAAAATACTTGCAAAATGACAATAAATTAAAAATAGGGGGTTTTGGTGTTTTAAAATACTTGAAACCAAATATAATTAAACTACAATTTAAATTGACAATCTAACGAAAACAAGATTTAATGTAAAATCAATAAGGGAGAGATGGTTGACTTAAGGTTTCCTCACTTTGACTTTTTGTTGAACATGTCATTTGAATCCAATGGTGCAATACTTGTTTTAAATCCTTAATTTGGCTATAGTAATCCAAGGAACTTGAGATTACCTAGACTTTTCTTAATTGTTGAAATGGTTAGAGAAGCTCATAACAATTTCCTTAGTCAAAGTCACTAATTCCAATAAGCATGTAATTAGTGAAAGTCAATTAGCATTAAGAACCAAAAAGTCACCAAATCCAAGAGGAGTCAAAAGCTTCCACTACCATGTTGGAGAAAATGTTTTTATGATTGTGTGAAGTAAAACTAACACAAGAATCACTTGTTGCTTGCTAATTTGAAGATCCTTTACTTAATCAAGAAATTAACCAACTAATCATCACAAACACATTTAAACTCATAAATAAAAACATACAAGTAGTGATAACATGTTAAAACACAAAATTCTTTCATAAAGATTCAAACACAAGTTCATGGATTCTTCGATATTCAACAAAAGTTCAAAGGATTCAACAAAAGTCAACCAAGATTTGTTTAGCCAAGCATGGCTAAACTCAAGTAAACAAAGTTAGATAAGATTGTACCAAACATTTGACAAGAATCAAGAGATTAAAAGAAGATGTTCTTGAGGTGTTCTTGGCCTTCAAAAGTCCTCCAAACTCTAGAGAGAAAGTGTCAAAATCGGACATCTAGGATGAGGCTGAATAGGCACACCAACCTTCCTAATATAGAGCTCTAGACAAAATCCCGAATTTGCCCTTTTCAGGAATCCACGTGGGCCGCAGGGAATCTTACGCGAGACGCGTGATTGCAACAAAATTTTGGGCTTCTTCAAGTCTTGGGCCCCCACAACTATTCTATTGGCCCATTTCGAGTCCAATCAGCGTCTAGCCTATTTTTCTTCAACGTTTCTTCAATTTGAGTTCAATTTGCCTCTCCAAATCACTCAAAGCTTCCGCAAACTCCCAAACATTGATCTTGCACACTCAAGAATTGTCCCGTGCCTTTCAAATTTAAAGTTCAACGCTTCCACGCCTTTAAGGAATTGACAATCCTACTCCATGAATCACCTCCACAACTATCAAGCACGAAATCCCCATTGCCCTCAAGTCCAATCGTCTCCCAAAAATCCCGTTCCGCTAGTCTCCAAAAAAATCTGCAAAAATGCTCAAGAAACTAGAAATTACCCGAAATGCTCAGAAAAATAACAAAAAGGAAAATATGCATGGAAATTAACTAAAATGCGAATGAAATGTTCTAAAAAACTATAAAAAGAAGTAAATAAAATGAAGCTATTAGAAATCAAATGAAACTCACACATAAATCATAATCAAGAAAAAATTTATGCTGTATCCTGTTGGGTAACAAACATCGTGGATTTCGATAGTTTGACCACTAAAAAGAATTGAATATGATTTGGATTTTCAAAATTTTGTTACCGAAACAAATGTTTCGTTAAAATATGGAACATAGTTCCCCGTTAATTCATTAACAAGGTTTAGAAATTTGGGTTTCACTTTCATCATGGCCTCATGATGTCAAATCATTAACACAAAATGTTGTAATGTCTAAGTCTCGACTGGTATGATCAAAGACAAATTAAGTGAGATTGGTATGATGTTAATTTGAGATCTTTTTATTAATATTTCCAAAAATAAAAAAAATTAAGTGAGATTGGTATGATGACGATCATGCCCTTAATGAGTTGATTTTGATCCAACGCTCCACCTTTAGTTCTTAGGTTCTCGGGAAACTTTGAGTTCTCAACGGATCTCACCCATATATATATATATATATATATATATATATATATATATATATATATATATATATATTAAACAACAAATCCAATTATTCCTAAACTATTCCTTCAATTTCACCTACGTCCTTGATGTAACTTGAACCTTGAACCTCAAGGTGAGAAGACAACACATAAATTCCAGCTGTGTCTATAACACCCGGTCTCAGGTATGCATTTTAATTTAACTCAAACTTCATATTTTTACCTTTGGACTCGACGATTTGGAGGCTCAACTCGTCGAGTAGGATCGACTCTGGGATGGGGGATTAAGTGACCTACTCGACGAGTTGGAAGACCGACTCGACGAGTAGGAGCTGTCTGAGTGAAACCCTAAGTTGGAGGGTTGTCACCCTATTTAAACAACTTATGAGGCTTCTACCCCAGCATCCATCACCCCCAAGACCTGTCGTCGAACCCCTAAGCAGCTGCGAGCATCTTTGAGCTATTTAGTGCCATTTTGAGTAATCTTGTGCAATTTGGAGCTTGTGTGAAGAAGAGGAAGAAGGAGGGCTTCAAGAGAAGGTTGTAGATCCAGGAACAACATCATCTTCTCTTCACTTTCTGGTAATAAAGCTTCATACTTGATTTGTGGTTTCTTAGATCTCATTGTGGTCATTTTTATGGAGTTTTGGGCCAAGAAGCTTGATTCATGGGACGTGGATGTCCCAAGCTGATACACCTTCAGATCTGGAACCTTGAAGGGTCCTCATGGCATAAAGGTGACATCTTTATGGCCATGAGAACAACATCCATGTAATAAACCCCATTTTTGGTCCTTTGAGCATAAGAGTACCATGCATGCATGTAAAGTTCATGACTTTACGTGTTATATCGACCTTAGGAGCCTAGATATACCTTTTGGATGAGTTTTGCACAACAAAAATTGTGTTATAGACTTGGACATTAGTTGATTCAATGAGTCGTTCTTGGGACTCGGCGAGTCGGGGGTTTGGTTCCCCAACCTTTTATGATTTGAAGGGATTCAGTTGATTTTAGAAGGGATTTAGATGAGTCCAGAAGAAGGACTTAATGAAATAAATGTAGTTATGGACCTGGAAACCATGGGACTCGGTGAGTGTATGAACGCACTCGGCGAGTCCAAGGCAATCTCCCAACCCATGAAGACAGACTCGACGAGTTGTTCATACAACTCGGCGAGTCACAGACTAGACACGCTCATATGATGAAGATGAACTCGATGAGTTCAAGGAGGAACTCGGAGACTCTGTTAAAGATTGTCCCGATGTTATGATAGAAGGAGAACACATTGAGTTCTTGCTAGACTCAACGAGTAGAGTCAGGTTGGAGACAGATCAAAGAATAGGGACTCGACAAGTTGACGGACCAAGTCGGCGAGTCGAGTCAATTGAATGTTGACTTTAACCAGGATATTGACTTTATCCAGGGGTAAAATGGTCATTTTACCCTAAGATTAGTTATTAGTTTTTGACTAAGTATCCTTATGGAAATTTATAGGCGTAGAGTCGCCGGAGCAGCAGGCAGAGATTTCTCACCCAGAGTTTCAACAGTCAGACATATGAGGTGAGTTTCCCTTTAGTAGGAATGAGTCTAAGGCACGAATGATGGCACGTTTATGTAGTTACAACATGCCGAGGTAAGCCCGATGTTGGGTTTAACCCGATTCAGTTTATTCTAGACCTTGGTCCGATGTCGGGGTGGTCCCGAGAAATAGTCTAATATGCTTGATGTTTTTGTGAATCATGCATGTGTATGTTATGTGTTATGTGTTCTGGACTCTGGTCCGATGCCGGGCAAGCCCGATGCAGTTTATGTGACTATATTATACGTTTAAGTTTATGTTATGATTCAGTTTATTCCGGACTTTGGTCCGATGCTGGGTGGGGCCCGATGTAGTGGGCAGGGTCCAAGTTATTATAGACTTGGGTCCGATACCGGGTGGGGCCCGATGCAGTGGGCGGGGCCCATGTTATTTCGGATTTTGGTCCGATGCCGGGCAGAGCCTGATGCAGTGGGCGGGTCCAGTAGTTGTTATATGTGCTTTGTATGATATGTGGTAGTTTTTTTTTTTTTTTTTTTTTTTTTTTTTTTTCCCGCGGGGGGGGGGGGGGGGGGGGGGGGGGTCACTAAGGTTCATGCTTACAGTTTCAGTTTTGGTTTCAGGTACTTCAGATTGCAAAGGGAAGGGATATGGAATGACACACACCACAGTTGATTAGCCTAGGAGTTTACTCTGATATTGTTTTTAGACTGTTATTTGTTGACATATTTTATGAGATTTGAGATATATTTTGATTAATTATTTTATGGATGAGATTATGTTTGTCAAATGATTTCAAAAACGAAATGTTTAGACTGTATTTTTGGGATTTTACAATGTCCACGACGGGACATGAATGACAAATCAAAATTCGAATCAAATACTTGATGATAACACTAACTTTGTAAACTCCTATTCTCGAGTTCATTTTTAAGGAGAGAAAAGAAAGGAAATGGCTGGAAGTGAAAGGAAAGTAAAAGAAATTGACGTTCCTAAGTTTCATTAAAGGAAGGAAGTGGAAAGTAATAAAAGGATCACAATTCTCCTAACTTTCCTTCCGATTTGGAAGGATTTGGAGAGAAAGAAAAGAATGTTTAATTTTCCGTCCACTTCTCTCCAACTTGGGAACACAAAGACGAATTTTTTTCTTTCTTTTCTCTTCGTTTCTCTCCTTACTTTCTTTTCTCTTCTTTTCTTTTCTTTACTACAACTTAGGAACGGGTACTAAAAGTCGCTTCATTTCACTATATTGAGCAATATTTATGGATTTTGCTCAATTAATTCAACAATAATTATTAAGCACTTTATTCTATTTTTTTAGAAAAACCTAACGTCTAGGGAAGCGACGATTGACGATTTCCTTTAATTGCCGGTGATTATTCCAACAGGTAAAGAGTATTGTACTTTCACATTCAACATGAAGGATAGATGGATGGGCGGTGAATCATGGTCTGAAGTTCGACACCATGCAACAAATTCTACACGTCAAAGGGCAACCCAAGTAAGTCTGGATCTCAACCGTGTAAATGTCGATGTTCAATCGTTCTATGTTATGAATTTCCCTGATTATGTGTTACCCAATGATCTATGGAAGGTTTGTTCATGTTTAGGAAAAATAGTAGATGGATGGGCAGTGAATCATGGTCTGAAGTTCGACACCATGAAACAATTTCTACACGTCAAAGGGCAACCCAAGTAAGTCTGGATCTCAATCGTGTAAGTATCTATGTTCAATCGCTCTATGTTACGAATTTCCCTGATTATGTGTTACCCAATGATCTATGGAGGGTTTATTCATGTTTAGGCAAGGTAGTAGATGTGTTTGTCTCTAAAAGATTGTCTCAGGTTGGAAAAATGGTTTTGATTTATTAGGTTTTCGAATATTACTAATGTTCAGAATATGGTGTAACAATTGTGTGATACTTGGTTTGGGTATCACAAATTATTTGCTAATATCCCAAGGTTTTCTTTTAAGGGTTCTTTGACTCAACGTTCCTTTCCTTCTAAAGTTTAATACAAGAGGTTCCCACGAACTCGTATGCTAGTGTTGCGAGGGGCTTTTCCTTGAATAATAGGGCTAAACGTTCGGAGGAGAATTTCATTGAAATTAATCAAGTGACTTTGTGGTGGATAAAAAACTAGCTTCTCTTGCTAAAGCTAGGGGTTTTCATACTCTTCCTAATATTCATATGTTATGCTTGGATGAAGGTTTTAAAGATTTGGAGATTCGTTATGTGGGTGGTCTTTGGGTTTTAGTTAAATTCAAATCCAAACATGCTTGCAAATGTTTTTTTTAGCTAATGATGCTCTAAATCGTTTTGAATAAAAAAACCATGGGATAGAAATTTTGTGCCTTTGAAAAGGATCATTTGGTTTGATGTGGAAGGTCTTCCTTTAAAAGCACGGAGTAAGGACACTTTTCAAAAAATCATTGCAAGATGGTGTACAATTGTTCATATTGATGATGATCTTAGGGAATATATTTATAAGAATCGTGTATGTGTTTTGACTACATGTCAAAACATTATTTATGATGTTGTAAAGGTATGTGTGGATGATTCTTTCTTTAGTGTTTAGGTTAAGGAGGCTCCTGGTTGGACTCCTTCTTTCCCACCTGGAGGTTTTAAAAGTGGGGTAAATGCTAGTGATGGAATTGGTAATAATGTAGACAAGGGGAGTGTTCACTCATTTCAGAAAAAGAAGATGATAATAAGTTTCAAGAAAAAGCAACACTTGGTAATTGGGGGAGTGGAAAAGGGCATTTTGTCCAGAATTCAAAGATTGAAATAAATATTCAATATGCACATAACAGGAATTTAGTTCATTTCTAGAAGAGCAATGCTGCTACTGTTAATGATACAGATCATCCAAAAACTCCAATTGCTGCTGAGGTTACGAAGGTTTGTTGTTCAGAGGCCGATCCATCAGAAGCAACTCCTGCTATCGTGTTTGCTGCTATGGCAGCTCTTATAGCAGTTGTTCTTCATACTGCTGTTCTATAGGTTTCTACACCTATTTTTCTAGCTGTAACTCTCAGTGTTGATTCTTTTGTGAAGGAGGCTACGAGTTCATTTAAACTGGTGGGATTCTCGTGTCGGTCTGGAAGATCTTCGGGTGTAGATTTGTTTGAAGATGCTTTGTCAAACCTATCTGGTTTTACAAATCAAATTCATACCACTTTTGGTGGAAGTAAATGTACATTTGATGGGTTGTTTACTAATGATTATCATAAAGATGAGTTTGATAAAACATTTCAAATGGGAGAGATTATTGGTTATGATATGAGTGGGTGTAAGAATCGAGTTTCTGATTTCTTTTGAAGGACAATATGATAGAAGTGGGTATCCATGAATTGTGTTTTGATAAACATTCAAGGAGCGGGTAACTTAGATAAAAGGACGTGGGTGAGATCCTTATGTCATAAGCATAAGGTTAATTTATTTATTTATATTTTATTTTTTTTTTATTTTTGCGATTCAGGAGACAATATTAGAGGAGGTTGGGTCGAGAATTAATATTTTTTTGGGATCTTTGAAAAAAAAACCATTTTTAAGCTTTAATGGGCCAATAACTATTAATGGGCCAAACCAAAAATCGGGCTACTCCTCTTGGGCCACTCTTTTGGGCCGAGGACCCCTCTTGGGTCGGTTAGCCCATTCAAAGTTTCGGTTAACCATTAGACAATTGCATGGACCATTGTGTTATGTGTTTAACTTTTGGGTTATTACTTCAACATGAAGTTTATCACATAGATCTTCATCAAAATTATGAGAACAGTATGTGTTATCATATATATTACATGTAAACCAGTAAATGTGGGTTATATACTCAGATATAGCAAAAACGAGTGTTGTATTGAAAGATGCATAACCTAAACTTAACAAAGAGCTTTCAACAAAAATGTTATATGTTATACATGGATTGTTTTGACCACCTTGAATGTAATATTTTTCAAAACTGTTTTACATGAAAAAGGTTTAGGTTTATACCTTTAAAATGACTACTTTCACGCATTCATAGATTTCTAAACAATATTTGGCGATTTTTACACAAAATGCCTACCATTTCAGGAATAATCTCGGACCAGTCTGTGAAGATGAAGAAATCACACTGGTTTGATGCCATTAAAAATTATGAGAAAAATTGTCAACAAAGTAGACTCACTTTCCAAACTCCCAGAGTTTATGGATCCAAATTTCTACTTACAATGATTTTTCTATAATTTTTCTAAAAACTGGGATAGAAAAGCCAAAAACCAGAAAATTGTTTTAACTTATTAAAAGTGCTTATACTTGTGTTTAGATGTAAGTTGTAAAGGTTGTAACCTTTTGAAAACACCTAGACATGATAACTTGTAGGTGCGTATACACTTGATCATATGAATATTTTCAATTACACTAGATATACTTAAGTTGTTTTACAAGAAAGGGAAGTCATAGTTTACGTAAATCTATTAAAGCTCTTGTGAGACTCTCCTTTAGTCGTACCTACCTACCGTATGTGGTAAGTCCTGTTAGTTATAACCAGAGTTTCCTAGAGGGAGACCGGGAGTTTGTGCATAGATCTATACGGGCTTGACATCCCAAACCTGAGCTATTCGCTACAGCTAGACTAGGCTAGTCTAGGGTGACAAATATCTTCTACGAAACCGATGCCTGAAGAGCGTCAAGACAGGCACTCCGTCATATTAGTATGGTTATAGTGACTCACATAGGGAATAAGAACACCATTTTGGTTTACGGGAAGCTTTAATTTGTTAGTTTTATTAAAAGAAATGAAACTATATATATATATATATATATATATATATATATATATATATATATATATACACACACTATTCATTTTCATCATGGTCTTAGGGTTTAAGACTACAGTTCGCTATTAAGAAAATATTGGATTTTCTAGATACATTCATTTTTACTCTACAAGGAAAAGACACATAGAGAGTAACAACATTATTTGGATTTTAAAAGGATTTACACTCTACTAGTTTTTACAAAATACCAAACTATGTTTCGTATACTTTATAAACTGATTTCATCACTCGGGTCTTGGGGTTTTAAGACCACAACGCCTTTATATACAGAAAATATAGGATTTTTTGGGGATACACTCTTTTCAAACACCAACAAAGGATAATAAAGGACATTGTGAAGAGCATCAAATGGATCATTGTGAAGATATAGTTTTGGGAAATTGAAGAAATCATGTCGGATCGTTTTTGGTGTACTGTTGTAGCCAACACCATTGAAGACCTGCGGTCACAATCCACAACTGTGATGATAAGCCACTCTACTCTTTTAAGACATCATGAAATGAATCAAGAAAACTTGTGAATAATGCAAAAACCCAATAGTCCTTGTGATTGAACAACATTTACATTATGGGACATGTTGGAGAACATATATTGGTATCTGTCATATTGAGGCATATTTAGGTATCTCGTGAGTATGAGGGGGATGATGTGGGAAAACACTTATTTTTAGTCTTATTTAGCCAACTTACTGGGCGTGAACATGAGAAATTTCTATAAGTGTCCATCCAAATGAGATCTAGTTAAGCCTTAAATCATTTTGTGGTTTCTGTTTTAAGTCTTAAAGGAATATTTCTAAATTTAAATATGTTTACCCTATGGAAATGGAATTTAGGACTTTGATTTAGATATAAACATTTTCAGTATTTCTGTTAAATATTTTCAGCTGTTCAAAAAAAAAAGTATTTCTGTCAAATATTGATTTTCAGAACTTGTTATGCTCTTTCAAAGTGATTGCATGATTATTAACAAAAATGTAATTCTTGATTTACTCTAAAAATATTGTTCAAAATCAGAACATTTTCATATTATTTGCTTAATTAAATGATTACTGTTAGGTCTCTTATTATCATGTAATTTTCAACAAGACATGATATTTTCTTCATTCTAAGCTTTCTCATATATATATATATATATATATATATATATATATATATATATATATATATATATATATATATATATATATATATATATATATAGTATGATAAAAGAATAGGATCTATTCCTTTTAGTCATTTCAGTTTATTTCTCACTTCCTATATGAGGATTTGTCTACACACTACTAGAAAACATGGGGTTTTTCTAAGGAAAGTAGCTACGTAATCGCTACGGATTAGCTACAAAATAGGGTTTTCCGTTAGAATTCCGTAGCTAATCCGTAGCTAACTAGCTACATATTAACTACAGATTTTTCTTATTTTTGATTTTTCGGGCACAAAACATTGCTTTCTTCGCTTCGTTTTTTTCACACGTTTGCTATACATGATTATCTATATTTTCACCAATTTATACCTATTAATATCGTTCATTAAGTCATGTGCCCCTTCGGGATCACGTACTCGTTTCACAGTTTCAGATTGTAATGCCTATACTTTTCACAAACTTGTGATGATCTTATGTTTGTATATGTATATTTATATACATGAATGAGTTGTGGTAAATGTGTACGTGTATATGTGTATGTATATGCATTTGTGAGATGTATGTGAACGTATTCATAAGCATTACAGTGTTAAACCATTAAACGAGTAATGAATTCTTTATGTGCACACGACTTTATAAATGATATTAATAACTATAACTTGCTGAAAAAATAGATATATGTATATTAGAGGTGTGAAAAAAACGACTTTGGTGCCTGGAAAACCAAAAATAATAAAAATCCGTAGCTAATTAGCTACGGATTAGCTACAAATGTTTTTTATTTTCGGTTTTTCGGGTACCGAACGTCGTTTTTTTCGATTTGTTTTTTTTACACATATATTATACATGATTATCTATATTTTCACAAACTTATAGCTATTAATATCGTTCATAAAGTCGTATGCCTCTTCGAGATAAGAAAATAAGTACATTAAACCAATTTAGCTTATAAGACTTAAACATTTGATTGGAAATAATGAAAGCATACCTAATATGCCCATCTTCAGGCAAAGTGCCGCATGGTACTGTTGAGATCATCATCACCCAACCATCTCCGTACATCATCAACCACAACATATTTGAGCTTTGGTGTGGTCACTGAACTTTTAGAGAAAGTGTATATTTCTTGGCAACTCTTTATATTCACATGAGTTAGTTCTGGTAGTTCAATGTCACATTTGTTATGGGAGAAGTAACTAAGATTTGGCAGAAATGCAAGACTCAGTTCTTCTAGTTTGTTGAGAGAAAGAACTTCTTTCATTTTTCCATATGTGTGCTCATATCCAACTACTTCCTCCAGCATCTTGCAACTAGATATATTCAAAATCTGGAGATTTGATAGACCCTTGAATGTATAAAAAGAGCACAAATTTGTCAACACTGGACACTCATGGACAAATATAGTTTTCAGCTTTCTGATTTGTTCTTCTGTAGAACCCCACACCTGTTCCAGAGAATCACACTTCTCCACTTCTAACTTCTCCAAACTAGGAAATACTGTTTGCAAATCTGATGGAAATATATTCACCAGTTTGTGACATTTCTCTACTCTAAGAGATTTTAGTTTACCAAACTGACTCATGGGAAGTTCGCTGGACCATAACTCCTCAACACTGTCAAGTTCAGAGACTTCTAGTGTCTCAAGACAAGGAAATGAGACCTAATACAACAGAAGTAGGAGAAAATAAATGGGCTTATTTTCAAAACAGTTTATAACATGGCTGAAATGGATTAACTAATTTGATATGAGAATGTTTTGAAGAAGATTGGTTGAAGTGGAAATTTCTTTTTGAGCTAATCACAAAAATAACAAAAACAATGGGAAGTCAATAAGAAAAATGACCATCTTTTTAACTTGTATAGGTTGTCCTCAAATGATTTTTTTATTACGATAGTTTTTTATTTTGCAAAAGCAATATTTTTCAAAAAAAATCAGACAAAAATATATGCTGCAAAACATTTTTGGTTATGTTTGTAATCAGTCCCATATTTTTAACTTGATTTGAAATAGATGGTTAGTTTGTTTAAATCTTCCTCACC